TCATAGTTTTTTTACATCCTTAGTCACAGAATTCCATACATGGCATCAATGTAGCTGTGGTGTGAATCAATATGGACATATCATACCCCATTATAAAGCCTGAATCCAGTCAAAATAGTTTTACAGTCCATAGTGTCAACCTCTGGACAGGTCTGGTGAATCCTGGTGGCCCTCTTACTAGTATAAAGTATGTGTGTGTGTGTGCAGATGCATGGGGGGGGTGTCTGGAAGACGATAGGTTCACACAGGCACAAACAAGCTGCTATTGTTACAGTCGTCACAAAGAGCAAAGACACTGATGAACATTAAAGAGGACAGGCTGTATCATCTACGACATCAGGAGATCGTCATAACAACCCCTAAACACAGATGTTGACTCACTACGCGTGCTAATATTGGGCCCTTTTAGCTTCACTCACTGCGGCTTGTTTCAAAAAGCTACGACCATTTTATAAATTAAATCGCTCAAAATAGCAATTTCCATGGTTGAAAAAATATAAATATCTGGCTGAGTATTTGATAAGGGACCAAAAGCCTTATTTATATATAGTATCGATTTGAAAGTTCCTTGTAATGAGATATGCATTGAATCGGCAGCAGGCTGTAACAGATCTTCAGCCACAGGTCTCACTATAAGGAATTTGTGAAAAAAATTGTTTGATTCAAACTTTTATATATATTATAAAAATTATGTTTTAGCTACTAGAAAAATACTGTCATTCTATAGGTTAGCACTCTAAAACATCTGAACGCATCATAGGTACGCTTTTTCAAATGTAACTCTCTAGACGTAATTTTCACTCTTAAGACTTTTTAAACATCACATAGCACTCAGAAATATTTCAATTTAAATTAGATGTTTTTGCTAAAATCATGCAGCCAAAATATAGTTGCATTGAAGATAACAGACCATACATATTGAGTGGACTGATGTGCTGATGTCCCCCATAACGTTTGCCAAGTGTGGAAGAAGCCGATTTGAACATAAGCGAGCTCGGGCTAAATTCCTTATATGGGCATTTGTTCCGATGGGGTTAGCTTTGCGCCGTCAAAGAGGCAGACGTTTTGCTAGGGTGTTTTCTAAGACAATTTGGAGTTTCCCCATGAATGGCGTCTGGCATCTGATGGGCCAATCGTTGTAAAGGCTCACATTTGGATTTACAAAGACAATATCAAACGATTACTGAGCTAGGGGAGTTTACTTTTCAATGCAAGTCAATAGGAGCGAGCTGGAGCAAAACTTTTTCCGTTGAGCCCTTCCCTATTGTGCTTGAGCTAGCAGGTTAGCATTGTCTCTATATACATTCTATGTTCAAGGTCTTGTTTTAATGATGGGAGAAAATACACTCATTACAGAGATTCTCAAGGGGGATGTGGACTCTGGTGCAGGAAAATCCACGTGTGAACATGATGTACTCTGCTTTGCGTTTCCATAGCGATGAATAGACTCCACGCTCAATACTAGGGGTTCTCAATGTGGGGGGCACGAGGCTAATCTCATCTCATTATTTGTGCAGAGACAGCATGAGGCTTGTTCCATTATTGCGGCCACACCTCCAGCACAATTTCAGAAGCTAAGCAGGGCAGGGCCTGGCTAGTGTTGTGTGGGGAGACCTCTGAGACCAGTAAAAGTATAACTAAAGAGCCACATTTTCCTTGTGTACTTTGGCAAGACAGTCAGTATTGCCCTGCACGAGTCAGGTGAGACTAGGACCAGAAATAATTAAAAAATAAAATAAAAACTTGATTTATATGATATATACTGTATGTTCATCTGATTGGGCTGAGGTCGGTGCTTCACCGGTGTTTCCACATTCACAGTGGCGGGTGTTGGTGTTTAGTGCTTACAGCACAGAGAGAGATGAAGAGTGAACAGGACTTCAGCAGCAAACAGCCTTTTCTAGATGGAAATATTGGCAATATTTCAAACTCACTGAGGTTAAAGGTAAAAATGCGCACCTCGAGTGCACATTATGTTCCAGAACAAAACGAAAAAGTAACGCAATAGTTACTTTTACTGGTAACTAGTTACTTTTATAGTGGAGTAACTCCGTTAGTAACTCAGTTACTTTTTGGGTAACTAGTAACTATAACTAATTACTTTTTCAAAGTAACGTGCCCAACACTGATCATCTAAAAAAATGACAAATTTAAATCATAACTTAGGCATTGAACATGGTAATAAGTTTTACGATTGTATTTCACTACTCTTGTGTTCAGAGTGAATGAATAATATCATGTGAAGCGTCTAAAAAGCGCTCTAAGGACGATGCATCATTGTTATTACTACCCACCACTTAGGGGTATTGTGAATGGGTAATGTGAATTGTGTGTGCGTGCGTTCACGAGTGCGTTTATGTGTGTCAATTTGTCTTTAGGCAGGATTGGACGAAAATTACTGGACGGATTGAGCTAAAATGGAGTGTGTAGATGGTATGGTAGCTCTAGTTCTAATTTATAAATGGATTTGTCTGCCGTGTTGCAAAGATCTATGTGCAACACAGCTGATTGAGTGAGGGTGATTATTACTTCACATTTGTCTGAAAATATCTGACCGAAAGCTGTTATAGAGGCCAAAAATATTTATGGGAAAACTAGTGATTGATCCAACTGTTTTGAGAGCTCAGTCAGATGGTTTGAATTCCGCGGTCTAGTCCATGAGACATTGGAAAGAAAACTGCTCTAAGAAATGTTCAGAATTTATTTTCCTTTAGCTACATTTAAACTACTAAAGAACACAAAGCTGTGACGTAGACAATGCTTTGTGCAATTACAGAAAGTATTGCTTCTCTGTTACACGTCTCGTGAAGCAGCCAGGAGAAAGGACTTTCCAGATTGTAATCAAAACACTGTCACCTAAACTGCGGCACTTCAAAACGCCAGACACTCACTGATACTGCAAAAATCACCAGACAAAAGTTTAGACTTGCGTGTCGAGTTTGTTTTGGGTGGATTCTGGGAAAGATTTTCTAATCTTTGCTGCTGCTTCTTCTACTACTGTTACTACTACTATTGCTGTTTTTATTACTGTTTCTACTACTACTACTATTATTTACTGCGCATGCAAAGAGACACCAGAAGAGGGCGTCCGCGCACTTTCCTTAGAAGAAATAACGAAGATGGCGGCGGGCGTGTGGCGATATTTTACAGTCTCAGAAAAAGATCTGCGTTATTTCAAGAGGGGGGACTGTAGGGAAATCATTTAACACAACAAATCTCATTGGACATTTGAGAAGCAAGCGTGAGGCAGAGTACAGCGATTGCGTGCAAGCTGAAGAAAAATGGAAACCGAAGCCGCCAAGAATTTATATATAAAAAATATATATAAAAAAAGAAAAAACATGGCCGATGTTTGCTATTGTTACAATAGCAGTAGAAGTAACAATAGTAGTCTACGAATGGTACTTCTACTACTACTTACTACTGTTACTACTACTACCTACTACTATTGTTACAATTACTACAACAATTGCTATTGTTACTACTACAACAACTAATGTTACTATTACTATGACTACTACTGCTACTAAACACAAAACTGTACTATTGATTCTTTGATAACAATTTGATCTAATTACTAAAACATTTCCATTGCAGACATTTTTTTAAATATTACGTGCGTCACTGTCTCCGTACTTGAGGATTACATGTTTGTCACAATCTCATTAAATTTTATATGAAATGATTACGCAATAAATGGAACCACCTACATGAAAGAGAAAAACACCAGGACGGGTTCAACGTGTTTTCTGAAATGGCGAGATCATTACCGTTTATTGTGGACTCAATATTTTACAAGTGTCTAATAAAAAATACAAGGAAAACCAAGAACATGCGTGTTGAGGATGCAGAGACGATTTCTGACCATCTCAGCACTTGGATTGCTTGTTTTCAAACCATGACCAATGGAAGGACATAATACAATCAACATCACTGGTTCCTGGCTATAAAACAGTTTGTTTCTGTCACTAGTTTTCACTTTCATTTATTTTTGTCGCATCTTTAAAGAACCACCTGTTGTATTTTCATTGTAAACTATATCTACTTCTTTATACATGTCCCAAGATAACACATGTGTAAGTCAAATTTGACCTTTTCTTGTTATTCATAATTAAAAATAGCATCGACATGATGCAAACAATAATTATGTTTACAAGTTACGTACAAGCAGATTATCCAATCAAAGAGCCGAATGAGGCCCTCATATGGGTTCGGTTGTTAGGTTACGTTTTGAAAAAATAAAAAATAAAAATAGATTCTGATTCTGATTTGCTTCAACAGACAACAAATAACACAGCAGCTACAAGTTTTAGATTGCAATTGTAATGACTAAATAAAACCACTAAGGGTGCATATTACAAACGGTCCCTTCAATCTTCAGGTCAAATCCACAGGGATTGAAAAACATCCTACATTTTTTTAAGATGAATTTTGATAACTTTCCTGAACTTGACCAGCCCTTGGTCATTTAGACCGTTTTAGACCCTAATTTAGGGTATTTCACTACTACTTTTATTAACTGTAGTGGATCATTTTGACCCGAGGATAGTACAAGAGTTAAATCAGCATCAAATAATGACAGGGCTATTTCTCCTAAGTCTGTAAAAGATAACATTTTCTGATAAGATGAAAGACGGCGTGATGTGGTCTGATTTGATCACAACTTTATACCTCTACATGTTTTATTATTTTTACTTTAGGTTACGTACACCAGTTTTAATACCATATTGCGTAACAGTCAAGGCAAAATAACATTTAGATGGACCACAGCACAACCAGGCATGAAAAAGTATCAGAAGGTTATTGGCTGAATATTATAAATAAATTAAAACAAAAATACAATTATTTTATTTAAATACATTATTTTTTCATTTTGTGGTTGACAGTGAATCCACGATTCTTATAACTCTGTGTAGCAGGAGCTAAATCACCATCAGAAAACATGTCCTACCCTTACTCTTAAGTTTTCTCATGACATAAAATGCTTCTTACCTGCGCGTTTACCATGCTCTTGTCAGCGTCCCAGTGGTGAAACCTTTCTTCTGTTTATCCCTGGCTGCGTTAATCCTGTTGACGGCAAAAAAGAAAAGGACAAAAAAAAGTTGAGTGAAATTTCGCAATCTCTCCAGTTCACAGCAGTCACTGAGAGGCCTTTCCCCCCACACTGACCTCTGGGCTGTTTACGTAACACTGCTGCAAATATTTTCACATAAATATTCAACATAACTTTCCAATGCCTCAAAAGCAACATGTATCTTGTATTTAAACCCCACAGAAAAGAACATTGAACTGTACCATTTCAATAGTGATTTAGCAACATTGTTAATGAAAACGTCTATTGTCCGGCTGTGTAGAGAATTGTGTATCTTAAAAAACTTAAACTTGAAGTAGTTACAAATTAGGCTTTTGGTTATGGGAAAATATCCTAAAATATGAGCAATACACCTATTGAAAACAAACGCAGTAATTTTCTTTACTTCTACCAGCTTCACGTGGAAGTCTACTGATATGTAGCAATTAGGTCGAAATGTTGATGAAATTAAATCACTCAATTGGACGAGCGAATACTGAAGATAATCAGGCATTCCCATCGGCTGTCTAGAGACAAGGAAGAACAAATTAATTTATTTGGGTAAAAACGTGGAATAATGAAAAAGTCACATCTTACAACCAAACTGAAGTCAAAGATGTCACAAGTCGCTACCGGAAAATCACAAGGAGTGCAATTATTAAAGTTCTTATCAAACATCAAAGTACTTGTTTCAGTATTGTAGCTAAAACATTTATAAAAACCTTCTTAGACTTAAACAATGAAAAAGGATCTAGATTTAAGGAAAACTAGAATTACAAGTAAAAATACATCTGAAATGTATATGATTAGAAAGTATACGATTGTGTTGTTAATTTGACAGTCGATGTTTAGTTCACTCAGAACCATACTATTTTAAATATATACAATTAGAAAAGCAATACAAAAAACTGAGTAAATATTTTTACAAAGTTGTGCAGCTCCTAGAGACTACAGCGCATTGTGCGCTCTGCAGAGGAAGTGATCGGCCGCAGCCTTCCATCGCTGCAGGACCTGTACGTCGCCCGAGCTCGAGGCCGGGCTGGTCGTATCACAGCCGACCCCTCTCACCCTGCACATGGACTATTCCAACCACTCCCCTCAGGCAGGAGGCTGCGGTCCATCAGGACTAGAACCTCCCGCCACAAGAACAGTTTCTTCCCCTCTGCTGTTGGACTCTTGAACACTTCTTAACCTGTCCCCCCGCCCTTTATAAAGTCACTTTACTGCCCATCATCCGTCACTTTACTTCACTGTACTGCTGTCACCTTACATTGTGTGCACCATGTGCACTTGTATATTGTAAATAGTAACTGTAACTCTATTTTAAATTTAAATTTATTCCTTAGAAGTGTTTTTTATTCTTTATTTTTATTATCTCTTTCTGACTGTTGCACTGAGCCAAAACAATTTCCAAGTCTGTGACTTCCTGTTACTTACGTGGCAATAAAAATTATTCTGATTCTGAGCTCTGGTTCATATGCTTGTCATAATTGTTTGTTGTCTCTAGTCTGCTGTTGCCAAATCAACATGGTGAAGTTCAACGAGATGCTGTGGTGAGCTTACTCTACACAAAAACATGCATATTAGTTTATATGCGAGAAGATACAATGCTATTGCCAATATTTTCAGACCTTTTAGACCAAACTTTTTAGTAAGAGGGCCACTTTAGTAAACCAGGCATTTCCGGGGCAAATAAACCCAATGTATAAGTTATGTCGGAGCTGAAGTTGGCTGACAGACATTACACTATCTCACCAGCTACATTAGCATCAGTAACAGATTTGTGTGACACAATCCAAAACTAATGTCCGCATAAACAAATAAACGACTGGATTCCGGAGAATCTCTACTTGACATGTATAGCATGTCTATACTGGCTGAGCTTAAGTTGGCTGGATGAGCTCAAAGACAACTTTGTGTTAGCAGCAGATTATTTGTTACTAAAATAAAACACAAAAAATACGTAAAAGGCACCTTGAGCGGTACAGTAAAGTTCAAATGTTGAACCCACCCCTATAGGCCACCATAGTCTATCCAGCATGAAAGAACATGCTACTTTGGGGACTTTCTTATTAAGCTAGCAAATGGCACAATATTGATTTCCATTGTTTAATAAAAACAAGATCATCAAAATCCTGTACAAAAACACAGAACTGATAAGCCCCACCTCCTAATTTAGGGATACATACATAAAACGCAAACCGTTTTTTTTTTTTAAACTAGTATTTGTGGAAAGATGTTATTTCAACACACAACAGGAAAGTATATAAAAAAATAGTCCCAAATTGTGTAAATATCTTGTTTTCATGTCGGTTGTGGAAGATTTTTTTTTTTTGAATTTCCACAGTGGGACTGCTTCAGATCTTTCTTGGTCAAATAGACAAATATAATAAATCAATAATTGATTAATCAAAATAATAATAATTATTAGTGAAAGAAATTATGTCTTTGAAGCAACAGCATATTGTTATATCTGTGTTTTTAACGTTAGAACTAACTAAGCATCATAACATTTGTAGCCATTTGTAGTTAGACCTGGAGAATGTCCAACATGTCATTTCTAGTTAATAAAAGGGGAATAAGAGGGAATAGGGGGTAGGTGAATCATTAAGCAAAACACGTGATTACTCAAATATGCAAGAATCATAACAAATTAAACTGAAAAAATACTGAAACGGTAAGACTATCTGAATATAGAAAAAGCTCAATCAATCGGTCATGTTTCACACAACACGTCTCCTTTAATGGAAAAGACTCGAAAACGCACATATTTAGCTGGTTGTTTTCTGCAAAACATTGAGTCTATTCCTCCACAGATCCATGCGTGGTGCATTGCAAAACACGCCTTCGCGAGACTTTAAACACGCCATAATTGCGTTGCACAAACTGGGCCAACTCCAAAAGTTTGCGCCAGAGTTTTACACATCCGTACCTCAACTCAACTTTTCCCCATCGAGACCTGAGTTCACCTGACTGCTGCCTCTTTTTAATCCTCTTTCCGTGCTCTCATGCCCGCAGGAAATCTCTCTTGCGTGTGCCCTCCACTCTCTGAAGCTTACACGTCCACAACCGAACGATGCAAACACGAAAAAATACGCAAAACGTGGAAGAAAGCTGGAAAAATAGCGTGCCAAATCCGCCCTGGTTTCCTTCAGGTTCTCCAGACGCAGCAGCGCGAGGAGATGCTAACGTTAGCCACAGTTAGCTCGCTGCTTTCCAGGCGAAGTTCAGCTCGCTTTTAACCCGATTTTCGGCTTCAATTGTCCGTAAATGAGTTCAAGGGAAAAAATGTATCGATTTCGTGAGGGTTACGCTGTCGAAAAGACGAAAAAATCCCAGCTATAGCGCGAGATAAGGCGTCCCTCCTTCTACGCGACCCAAATAGATGGCCATTACTTTTGCTTAGCCCCGCCTCGCTGCTCTCTGGAGTGGAGCGCTAAGTCCCAGGCATTTCGACCGTCATTCTTAAAACGCTGATTTATGATTACAAAAGATTTACACAACGCTTTTGTTCCTGTTTAAATGGCTTGTGAGGTGATGTTAGGAAAAGGGCAGTCATTTGAGCTGCGTCCACGAATTTATTGGGGATATTTACTTTAATTAGTTTGCATTGTAGTGTTTTGTAAATATAGATTGTAAAGCATCTGCTTTGTGTCTGTATTGTGCTTTACAAATAAAATTGTATTCATTATAGCAAACATGTTATACGCTATATCAGCCATTCCCAAACTCAGTAACACCGAGGCCCCCTTAAAAATCTGACGGGTCTGCGTGGCCCCCCAAAATAATAACCAAGAAGACAACATTAAGAATAGGCTCTTCTGGTTATTTTATTTTGGGGAAATAGCCTCTGCTACAAACATTGTAATACAAAAATGATTACAGTGGATTATTCAAGTCAAATAATGAACACAAATATTTTAATATTACAAACAAAACATTATAAATTTAACATTAAATAATTATATTATTTTTTTATTTTTTTTATGACCTCCCGCGGCCCCCCTGCAGTACCCTCGCGGCCCACCAGGGGGCCGCGGACCCCACTTTGGGAGACACTGCGCTATATTGTTTAATGTCTACTGTGGTGTATGTAAATGTTTTTGGTTTAAAGAATGTGAACCCCTGTAATGGAAGACAGTAAAGGAGTTTATTTTACTGTCCCACGGGCTAAATACCCATTTAAAGTCAATCAATAATTACTATGAATGAGTAATGACCACAAAATATATAGTATGGACTTAGCGTATTTTTTATTTTATTTTAAAACTGTAGCATCAGAATCAGAATCATTTTTATTGCCACGTAAGTAACAGGAAGTCACAGACTAGGAAATTGCTTTGGCTCAGTGCAACAGTCAGAAGGAGATAATAAAAATAAGAATAAAAAACACTTCTAAAGAATAAATTTAAATTTAAAATAGAGTTACAGTTACTAAAAACAATATACAAGTGCACACGGTGCACACAATGTAAGGTGACAGCAGTACAGTGAAGTAAAGTGACGTATGATGGGCAGTAAAGTGACTTTATAAAGGGCGGGGGGACAGCATATTGAGCACAATATGGGCCTCCTCGAGTCGTTCCTTTCTGATGCAGGAGGGTCTGAGGACAGTGTTGATCCAAAGCATTTATGTACAGGGGTCATCGCCTTCCCTACGGACCAAGGCTCCTATTTGTTTGTTGTTATTGCATTTCCTGTGTTTGAAATGCTTGAGTCTCACATCTCAATCGACTGGGAATTCATCCAAGACAACTGCTGTTGTGATTTAGGGCTAATTAAAAATACAAATACAAATGATAAATAAAAGCAGAAATAGTTTTCCATCTAATAAAAATAATATAATGAGTGTCCATTGTTCCTATTGACAAAGTTGACTCCGGTGGATAAAGAGCCAGAGATAGGTGCAGTTCTACTTTAGGTCACCGAAAGTATGTAGGTCAAAACTCTAAAGAAATAAATTCCACAATTTATTTCCATAGTGATGTCTAATATTTCGGTTTGGGGACTTTTTTCCATCTAAAGTTTCCAGTTGCTAATTTCTATGAAAAATACATATAAAATAATCTATAATAATTTGTCACAAAAAGGGAAATTCCAGTACACAACAGCTAAGAGGGGAATAGACATGTACCAAAAAATTGAAGATGATCTATAATAGCCATAACCATTGACTTCAAACGAGTAAATATTTTGACAATAATGGTCCTTTTACTAAGTGTATTTCTCTTTTGTTTTATAATTTTCTTTTGACCCCGTAGTGATACAGGACATGAAAAACATACGCAATGAGTTCTCTACGGTTATACATTTAGACTAATTTATAAAATTTGACACATTACAAATACATGTAATTGCATTTTGCTGTGTCCATTTTTCAAACAAGAAATTACCAAAAGATCTTGATTTGTTAATGTGGAGGATTGTAGCCAAAACTAATTCCAATTTTCTATCCACAATCCACCCATTCATTCAACATATAATCACATTTTCACAGTAATGCACTTACAGATCATACACATACAGACACACACTCACACATACACGTACACACACACACACACACACATACACACACACACACACACAACACACACATACAATCTAAATAGGCCACGTGTGCTAAGAATACAGCTTGATGAACAGAACTGTCTCTCTTTCTTCAGGGGTTCCCAAACATTTAGCAGCGCCAAAATTAATAGCATAATCAGACTGAGGGCCAAACCGATTCATGTTTTTTTTATTTATTTGTTTACAACAACCCTGTGCTCATAGGGATCAAATCATCTAGTGAAAAGACAAGTGCGGCTCCTTTTGTCTCCAGTCCAGTCTTTCAAGAACAAATCTATAGTCAGCAGCTACCACTTGATGTTATGGCAACCCTGAGGCAAACTCCTTTTAGCGAAGTGGCTAGATCTAACTTCTGCATTTTGCTTGTGGTAGAACATTATCTCAATCTTGTGACCGTGACGTTATGTTTTGTTCGTTATTTGTTGCATCATATGTCATATTCCAATAACATTCTCACAAATTTTGTAAACGTCTAAAATGTGCTGAAGGAATAAAACCACAATATACTGTCTCCATCTTATTGGAAAACATGTTATCTTATGCATACTTGTTAGAAGAACTGGCTGGCTTAAAACACTGTACATGCATGTGAAAACTTCTGAGCTAGTTTCATGTATTTCATAATGTTTTTCGTAATAGTTTGAAAGTCAAGTACCCCAGCTTTAACTATCTACAGTTTTTGATTGTTGTATTATTTAAATTCTATTTGAGCTATTTGAGTGCTTCTTACCCCTGCTATTCTTTCATGTGGATCCAAAAGAGGTTCTTTTATCACTCAATTAATTAAAACCACCGTCTATTTACATCAATTCTGCATGAAAACAACAAAGTCGAATCCATTCACGAGCGACAATAGAATTATAATCGCGTTTGTCTTTTGGTTGTGTTTTATTTGACCACATTCCCACAGAACAACAACGCGCCTGACGTGCATGACGTGCGTGACGTGCCGCCCCACCTCCGGACCAAACGCCTAGGATTTCACCATCGCTCCCACCCTCCCCCCGCTGCCTCCGGAGTCCCTTCCAACACAAGCCCCCTGCTCAGCCAATCACACGCGGCTCTCCCCGTGCTCCTCTCCGCGATTGGTCCAGCCGCTGCCCCTCACGCGCTGCCCCGCCCAACGGAGCAGGGGTGTGTCGTGACGTCACATGTGGTGAAGAGGTAAACAACTCTGACCGCGTGAGGCTTAAAGAGGCACGTACATGCTCTCCACTCTGCGCCGAGTGTGAATGAAGGCATCTGACTCTGAGGAGAGGGATGGGGGCAGTAGAGGAGAGGCTTCATGTGGATTTTGGCAACATTGTCACGCAAAGATGACATCACTCTAACGCCTGCTTTAAAAGAATGGAAGGCAAGGAAGGTTTTCTTTGTATATCACAGTTCACACACAAGGTGACTCAAAGTGCTTGATACAACAAGATAGAAAGATTAAAATCACACTAGGCATAAATAATCACAGCACATTAGAAAGAGAAAGATACAGTCCTTCAGTTGTATGCAGAGATAAACAGAACTGTTTTAACCAGGATTTGAACATTGTCTCATATGTCTCACATTATCAGGAAGACTGTTCCAGATTTGAGATGTACAAATCTGTATTGCTGCCTTCCCATGTTTAGTCCTGACTCAGGGCACCAGCAGGAGGTCAGTCCCTGTGCTCCTCAAAGCTTTCATCATTAGAATAGGTTAAAAAAAAATACACGCATTAACTTTAACAGACTGTTCTGGCTCACTTGGGACAAAATGATTTATTTGTGGAAATAAAAGACAAACAATTGAGCATGTGTCCAGTCATTAAGTGAATCTATCAAGAGAGATTGATCGGTGAAGCATTTTTCCTCATCTGAACTCGACTTTGTCCAGTGAAGTGAAGCAGACCACAAACACGCCTTAAATGCTCCCATCTCAAACTTGACAAGCGATGACAAATCCTCTGACTCAAGTTAATACTCTGAAGTTTGAAATGACATTATCCAAATCTTGAGGACATTAAGGGTTGTGTAGCCTTACCTCAACACAATATTGGCAATTGGTAACATTTTTAAAATGTAAATGGGGCACCGCAAGGATCCATTCTGGGTCCCTCACTGTTTACTATACTTAACTCTTTGTAACCTTTTACTACAAAATAAAAATTATACAGTCTGCATAACATGATAATGTAATTTCCCGCTTCTACCACTAGAAATGAGAGTTGTTCAGATCCAAATCATTCTTCACAATGTTTAATCATATATTTCCTACTTAAGAGTTCATTTTACATAAAATGTGAAATGCCATAAAACATGAACAGTTATGCCAAAGATCATCATGGGCTACAGTTCTTGGGCACCGGCTGTTAATGGCGAACTGGGACATGCACTCCTGATCACAAGCCATAGATTTGATTGCATAAACATCTTGAATCCTTAAGGAAACTGGAGCACCTGGAGAAAACCTACACATGCACAACATGATGCAAACTCCACTCAGAAAGGGCCCCATGCTGCACAGGAATCAAACCTGCAGAATAAAGGAAAACATAATAATTATCATTACCTGGTATTAGATTGAAATCAGTGACAAATGATAAAGATAGATAGATATTGATAGATAGATATATGGATAGATAGATAGATATTATAGATAGATATTGATAGATAGATAGATATTATAGATAGATATTATAGATAGATAGTAAAGTAAATAAATCGATATACATTTAGCATATAATCATGACATCATCCATCACATGTTCATTTCATTTTAAGCCACACTTCAGTCCGGTCCTCGCTGTGATAAAGGACGTGTTTTGGACCTGTGAATGTAGGACACTGGCTCTTATTGATGCTGTGTGGAGGCAGCAGAGCGGATGTGAAGGAGGGGTGTGTCCGCTCTGCAGTGCGTGGTAGGCTACTGCTGCTGCTGCTGCTGCTGTGCTGCTGCGGTGCTCTGTGGGGGGTGGTTTGTTGTTGCCATAGGATTTACATTATGACAGAAGAGCGTGCAATAGCGAGGTATTTATAGATCTTCAATAATAGTGCGTTCGCAGTGATGATGAGGAGGTGTGAGAAGTGAGGTTGTGGATAAAATAAGATCAGGATTTTATGCATAAACAGGGATTCAGGCAGGACTTAAAAGTGTAATATATAAGTACAATATCCTTTTTTATAAGACACAAGGATTAAAAGTATAATAGAAAATGATATCAAAAAGGGGGACATATAATGGTATATTGTGTGCTACTACTGTACCTTTACTGCTGTAATGACAATCAATGTTTACTATAACAAATGTGCTCTGTTGGCTTTTGAATAGAGAAAACAATGTTTGTGTTGTAAGATCATGGACCCAACTATCATTTAAAAAAACAACCATATGAAAATGATGTCTTAGGACAACTCATATACAGAGAATAATTTAAAAAAGCCTGATAGTAAGATTAGATTTGAACGTCACTACCTGAGGCTACCTTTTCACTCAGGCTCCAGGTCTGCTCATTCATTTCAATGGGAAATCGTGTTGTTTGAATGGTAAAAAATGTCACTAGCATGAATGACATTATGTTCATATGTGGGGAAATGAGAGCCACCGTTTAGAGATCTCGAATATATCCAGAGCTAGAGCCTGTTGTTAACAAAGAGGAGTGGACATGAAACAGCAAAGGGGGTGCCAGAAGAACCACTACAACTAACGGCTTGTTTGTTCATGAGGAATGAGGAAACCATGGAAGAGGCTTTTATCTTTTTAAGGAGAGTCTACATTACTCCCATTTTGAAGTCCTTGCACTGGCTCCCTGTCTCACACAAAATCAATTTTAAAATTCTAGTGCTGACTTTCAGGGCGCTTAATGGTCAGGCGCCTGAATACATCCAGGGCCTGATCCACTCCTATGTCTCCAACAGGAGCCAGAGGTCCTCCCAGAACCTGTAGATGGTCCTCCGTACTCGTTTTAAAACCAGAGGAGTCAGATCCTTCCAGACATTTCCTCCTCACCTTTGAAATGAGCTTCCTCAGTCTCTGCGCATCTCAGAGTCTGTTGTTGATTTCAAGTCCCATCTTAAGACTTATAAATTTAGACAGGCTTTCTTGCCTCTCTGTTCATGGGCCTCTGTGAACTGTGTTTTTCTGTGTTTTTGTTTTTAATTCTCACTTGTATGTGTATTTTCTGTGTTTTAATGTGTGAAGCGCTTTGTGATCCTGGTCTGTGAAATGTGCTATACATATAAACTTTACTTAGTTACTTACTTACTTATCCAAAACAGTGAGTACAGAAGCCAAGCAGTGTCAGCGTTTCTCACGGAGCTACTTAAGAAAGAGTGAAGCTAGTTATTACTTAAATAATGGATGGTGGATAATGTCACATGTAAAAATCAACGCTGTGTTTTGACTTTTGTCTTTGCTTGATATTTACATTTAGATTGCGTCCTGTAGTAGTGCTCCCGTTGCACTTTTTTTCACACACCTCCTCCACGTGTTGTCAACTGTACACTGTGCTATTTACCTGATCATTTCTGAAATTCCAACAAGAAGTCAGTTCAGTTCCGATTGTGTAAGCTCAGAGCAATACAGACACTTGACAAAACAAAAAAACAGACTTTAAGGTTCTGAAGAAGATGACAAAGTCTGGGATCGCGTCTTTCATTCAGACAGAAGACATGTTTTATTGTCGATGGTAGAGACACATGAACACGAACACAGATACAATAGAATGCAAGTGTATTATACAGAGCGGAGGCATGGAGACCTCCAATCAGCAGCTGCCACGGTGCCTTGTAGCTTGGCCTTCAGATAGACAAAACAAGGGAAAAGTACAGGCTTCTGCACATTGATAGAATGATGAGTTTAACTTTAACAAAAGTTGCTTCAAAGTGTTATGAAATCTCACAGTTTGTTCAAGTGCTATAGAGAACTCAAAAAGAGGATGCTGACCCGTTCATTACTGTGACTTCAAAATAAACTTATAATTTTAGAGTAATATTTGTCAAAGCATTTATCTTAAAGTTGGAGTATCCAGCTTGTTTTTGTTTGATAAATACATGTTCTTTGTCCTGACCGAAAGAGTTTTTAGTTTTTTTAAAAGTATAATTTTGTGAGCAGACCATGTTGTCTTCATCTAAATACATATCAATAATATTTCCATCTATATACAGTATGTAGTGCAAAGTCATATACATGAGAAGTAGATAAAGTTACATGGAATTTATGATATAGGTAATGTAGGTTTCAAAGTTAGGTACTGGAGCTTTAACAGCAGATTAGCAGTCACACTCACACTTCAAGCCTGGACTCGCAGCAGGAAGTGAGTCCACGTGAGGCTGCAGTGGGTCAGGCGCAGGGGCCCATGGGTGAAGGTCATGGGTGTGTCTGTAATGTAAACACAAGGGGGGGGATGAGGGGCCCTGGGCATCCTGTGTAAATCCGAGGCCTGAAAACATAAGAAAGAAGAGGCCGGAGAACAACGTGTGTTCTATGATGCTTTAAAGCTGGGGTAGATGTTATGTAATTTGCATTGTTTTGGTATGAATTAATAAAATAATATAAAAATATATATTTAAATCCACTAACTAGTTCCTTGCTTTCAAAACAGTTTGGTTCGGCCTCTGGCACATCTTTGGACCTGCTTTTTATGACAGAAAAGTGAAAAAGAGAAGACCGCCCTCACTCAGCCAATCAGCTTTCAGCCCAAAGCGTCAAATAGTGACTCACGAGGATCTATGCAAAAGATATCGTGTTTTCTATAAGATGAAGACCGAACGCTGTGGTCAGATTTAGACACAACATACAAATACAGCCGTTGTCTCTTTTACACAACATTGTTTCATTGCCAAAAACAGACCAGGAGTTGTTTTTAGATCCATCCACTCTAATAACGATCATGTTCACCTCGCCCCCCCCCCCCTCTCTGTGGCTCTGGCTCTGTGTTAAATCTGTCCTATCTGTTACGTCATAAATAGAAAATGTGTAATGTATTCAAATTTTCATTTTGTACAAATATGGACTTCAATGCCATCCATCCATTCATTTTCTTCCCCTTAATCCATTTGTGGGTCGGGGGGGGGGGTCTTGCCCAAGGACACAACGACAGCAGTCATCAATGGGAGTCGTGAAGTAGGTCTTGTATGGGATTAAATGAATATTGCTAAATGTTTTAAATGTGTTGGGAGTTGTAGTTCCTGCTGAACCAAAACAATGGGCCCATTTTGACAAGAATGCTGCCTATTTTTCAACACCAACAACAATCAAGTGCTAAAACAGGAAGTACAAAAATAAAGGATGTTGCTTTTTTTCAATTTCAGTGGTGC